GTGTTGCATGGGTCCTGCAAAATCATGCCCGCTCCCCAAAATTTCCTTAAGAAACTCGTTGGGATGAGAAAGTCCCCACGCAGTGACAGTGCTGGCCGGCGCACGCTCACGCCGTCTCCGTCGGACCTCTTGGCAAAGCAGACTTTCAGCTTCAGCCTTTCAGCCACCCCCGATTTTCCTCCTTGCCCCCATGCCCAGCGCACCCGGCTCTCTGCCAGCCAGGCTGGCCCGTGAATTAGCTCCAGGCTTCACCTTTTCTTTCTTTTTTTTCATTCAGGACCTTGAGTCCCTGGAGAACATCCTCTTTCCTGCTGAGTTCTTGGGATAACCAAATCATAATCACAGACAAACGCCCACAAAACACGCCACGATTCCCTGGTGGGGGCTGCCACCATCTCTAGTTCAGCACCCGAGGGCAGAGTTTGCTTTTTTTTCCTGCCATCTACTACTTTACGTTGCTTAACTCTAAAGCCTTTTTCCTGGGATGGAGATTTTAGGACCGATGACAGATGAAAATATGCTATCCCGTACTGCATTATTTTCCCCTTATGTTCCCCTTGGCCAGCAGATGTTGTAAAACATATGTCTTTATTTGAGGGAGAGGCTCTTCTTGCAAAATCTAGCACTAGCAGCTGCCTTTCCCAAAACCTTCAGTGCCGGTTAGCACCAGGATATAAGAACAAGGTGCCTAATACCCGGCACCTAAAATCCGAGGTGGCTACACCTGAATACATCGGTCTTAAACCTGCCGTGCTTCTGCAAAAGGAGTGAGGGTGGTTGCATCCCTCCCGCAGCCGCCCAAGCAGCCCTGTGACACCCCAAGCGCCGGGGGAAAGTCCGCGTGGAAACCTGCCCGAGCAGATCTGCAGGACGTAAAATTTACCCTCTCAAACGTTCTCATTAATTTTCCTGCATAAACATAAAGGCCCAATCTCTATTTGGCCTAAATCCACATAGCCCCAGCGTGCTACGGAGCTGTACCAAAGGCTCCAAAACCCCCCATGTTTCTCTGTGTCACTGGGGATTACTGCTGGGATACAAGAACCGCGATCAAAATTCAGCTTGTATCATCATATCAAAGCAAATTTGAGAGACTTCATTTTCATTTTAATGCCTCTCTTTCCTTACTTTTAGTCACTTTTGGTTTTAATAGCGCCATTTGCATTTTAAATGACAAGCGGGTTCCCTGCTTTCAGCCTTCCTCCCGCATGAACCCGAGTAACTCGATGTGCCGTTGCGACCCGTGGTGTGCATTATATACCGATATCCCTATAGCTCCTCGAGAGACCTGCGATTACAGGGTCTCTATGACAACAATGCACGAGCCTGGGGCTGGCTGACGTTGTATTTCCTCCGTGCACAACGCAGCATATCACATCAGAGAGGAATATTTCCCCTCGACTAATTTATAAATCGATCTCTCCCCGGTGCGAACGCGCGTGACCTGCAACTTGTGACTTCCACCAGCGCGGCAGGCGACTCAAAGCAAAGCCTCATCTTTTCCCAGTAGTAACAACCCCGTGACTGGAGAGCTGCAGAAGGCTGTGCACGATGCAGGAGCTGACTGCAGCTGCGGGGGCGACAGCGATAGTTTTGGCAGGCAGAGGTGGCACGGCTGTCCCCGGCGCGTGCCAGCAGTGCCTTCCGGCTGGACACACGCCATGGTGCCTAACCAGCCCGCTGACGGCCCTGCCCAGATCTATCCAGATGACAGGTGGTTTTGCTTCTCAGCCTTATCTTTAACCAAACTGAGTGCCTTTAGTAGAGCTCCAAGCCTTTCTTCCCTGGGCTCGTTTTCCTGTTAACACCCCTGGGACACTGCCGTTCCCCAGCACCCTGCACAGGCAATGGTTTGAAGACCTGACGCCATGCCAAGGGAGACCAGACCAGTGCTGCACCAAGAACAGCAGCCTGCTGGGCTTTTGACAAAGCTGCGTTCATCAATTTAATCCATATAGATTTTGCAATGTAGTCCTACGTTTCCTCGATGTACGTCCACCGTGACCTTCCGTGCCGGCTACTGCAGCCCCAACGCAGTTACACATCGGATTATTCCTCTTTCACACATGCTGCACTGGCTTTCAGCTTTCATCTTTTACATTTCTCTGTGTGGTTGTTTTGCCACAATATAGCATTCAGAGTCAAGGAAATGGGAAATTTCTCAGGATCTTCTGTGGATGACTCCGGGTTATTCCCATGGGGCAATAACCCCCCCCAAGCAGCAGCATCGGTCCCATGCCACGGCTCAGGGCTTCAACGCAGGGAGCCCCTGCTCGCCTCCAGCCCCCTGCGTGCGGTGGGCATCTCTCGCTGTGCGGTTAACGGGTCTCTGACCAGGACACACGCAGGGACATGTGCAAACCACGCGTTTGCCGGGGCTGCTGATTCCAGCCAGTTGTATAACAAAATCTACCAGGATGACACAAAAAACATCTTGCAGTGAGAAACTTTCTACTCCTTTGTTTTCAATGGGAATTACTCTGAACTGATTTTTCCATAGCCAGGACCCCCTGGATATGGTAGGTGGAAGGCAACGTCCACCGGCCGCGGTGGAAATCGTTAAATTGGAGTGGTTTCAGAGGAGAGCCACGGGGACGATGGAGGAGCTTGCCTGATAATGAAAGACGCCGGGAACTCAATTTGTTTTCCTTAACGAAAAGAAGGTTAAGAGAGGATTCGCTCGCAGCCTCTAATTACTTCTGGAATTTAAATGTGATAATAGAGGGCTCCCTGGTCAGGCAGATGAAAGTATGTGCAACCCGCTGCCTGCAAGATTCAAATTCAGGTTTGAATTAAAAGCACATTTTTAGTGGTGTAGGTTATTAACCACTGAAAAAGACCGAAAAATCTTTTGATTTGAAGGGGTATTTTTTTCTTTCTAAACCTAAAGCTTTAGTTCAAATAGAAAAGTCCCCAGGCATGTTTTACACAGGAGTTCAGACTAGATAGTCATTATGGCTTTTTCTAACCTTATAAAGTATTAATATGCCATCGCCCTTCTGCCCTCCTTTTATACTCTATTCATCAACCAATAATTTTTTTTCAGTAAACACAGAATTTCTTGAACGTGGTGTCACCTAGGAGGTTATTAGCGATAAGGAGTTGAGGACCGTGTCCGTACGACACCCTGGCTGAGTGTGGTAGGAACCGTCTGCGGCCGAGAGTGACTGTCCACTGCTGCTGCGTATTGCCCAGCCTGTCAGCAAATCCCCGCTGACACCGGAGTTATTTTTCCACCTGGATATTGAAAGGAGACGCTATCGTCAGCATGCCGGCTTGGTGGGACAGCGAGGGGTCGGCGGATGCGGGTGCTCCTCGCCCCGCCGCCGCCGGGCTCGGCTGGAGCCATGAGCAAGAGCCGGAGGAGCTGCCAGGAGGACTGACTGCTCATGAGGCTTGCAGGAAGGGAAAGGCTAGAGAAAATCACATTTATCGCCTTTTCAGCATTAAGCCTGAACTGCCCGCATCCAAAACAGTAAACCCACAGGGAACTGTGTCGTTTGCCACACTCTGCATTTATTTTTACAAAACTGCTGCATGCTATAGTGGTGCAAGTTTAGATTCGGTGCATGGGATTGACTCCTGACCCGTTCCAGTTTGATGCCAGAATTTCACGTTACAACCTCCAGAATCCCTGGGATTTATATCACCATTTCACACCACCGCCTGTGCGGTGCTGGAAGCAAACCCTGGCAGACGTGCATTTTCCTCGTCCTGCCCCTCTGCGGGTTGTTTGGCGTGGTCAAGGCGTGATTACAGCAGGCAGGGCAGGCTCTGACCGTGCCCCTGTGCACCCCCCAGCCGAGAGCTTGCTGGTCCCACCAGCCAGAAACTAATGACTTTTCTGCTCCCGTCCTCATGGGGAAAAAAACTGAACACGATGACCAGGGTTTCTGTGTTTGGGTTTTCCTAATATACACCCAAAATGTGACCCTGGCTACACAGGCAAACTCTGTCAGGGATTTTAACTTACTTGCTGCGGGTTTTTTTTGTCTTGTTTGCTTGTAGTTATTTTGTTGTAGCGCTCAAAAGTGATCAAACATGGATAACATGTTAGTATGATATTGGTTGCTGCAGTTTCTCAAGGCTGTTGCAGTAGACATGACACCATTGACACGTGCACCAGAAAGCATTACCAAAGCTTGCCCTTCAGAGCAGCAAAAAATATAAATAAAAAAATCCCATAATGCTGCAGGAGACTAGAGAGGTGAAATAAATTTCAGTTATGGATGTTGTACGTTTCCTGCCTCTGGTTGGGAAAAGCACACGGCCTCTGAAACGTGCCCCTTTGTGCTGCTTAATTCAGCAGTTGAAAACACATATCTCCTTCTTTCGAGCATGGTGCGTTGGAAAGACGTCACTTGCTTTTATCTGCTCCAGTGTGACCCATTACGCTGAAGCATCAGGCAACTGAAATCCGTAATAGAGAGCCAATTCCACCAAAAGTCACCCAGAAAACGCCACTGGAGCATCCGATCTGTGGGCGCATCACCTCCAGCGAGGCCAGAGCCTTGCTGGGAGGGCTGGGAGAGCCCAGCCAGCCTCCGAGCTGCAGGTCCCTCGTGGCCCCGAGTCACTGCTGCCCAGGCAGGACACCCCGCAGGTGGGTCAAACAGAGGTGCCGAGGATCTCCCACCTCTTTTGCAGGGCTGAATTAAAGCAAGCACACAATCCCCGCTGCTAGATTGATTTCAGATGGCTATTTCCAGTGTATTAAACTGCAGCTTTCTCATGATATCCAAACAATCAGCCGGCCCATCACCTAGGTGGTTTTCAACGCTGCGCCCTGCACTGTAAGCTGTATGGGTCTTCCCGACAGCTTACACTCACACGCTTTAGCAGATCGTGTTAGGCCCACAGGATGGATAATAAAACAACAGCACATTTGTGGAAGATACTTGGACATCCAGTGATATATAGATATACACACAGAGATATATAGGGGTATAGGTATATATATTCTGAAGCGTGGAGCGCGCTATCCGTTTTCAGCTGCTTACCAATGTACGTGATACTCCAGTTATTCACATGAGTGCCCGCTGAACACTTCATCTTCATAACATCAGATGGCATGTTAGTCCTCAGGTTACTAGATTTTACTCTAAAGAAAACTCCTTTTTCTGCCCATTTTAATTACTTTGTGTCCCAGTTCACCTAATTCTCTCTCCTTCTAGCACATGAAAAAAGAAGAAAATAGCTGAGATTTTCCTTATCTGTTTTATCCCTTCCTGATATCTAAAATACCATGCTTTATCAAACATTTGAAATAAAACTAGCCCCATCTAGTTCAAATGCATATCATAAATCAACTCCTTTAACAAGGTGACAGCAAAAATACCCCAAAGCATGTTTCTCACTTTGTCTTCCCCTTTCCCAAATGTCTCGGGACAGAGACATAACAGCAATCTCTGAAAATCAAGTTGACATCCTCTATGTTATTCATTGTTTTATGTATTTTTTACATGCACATTTTGTTTTGTCTCTTGTCCTTACCTCCTAGTTGTACTTATTCCCTTAAGGCCATCACAGGCAGTATAAGCAGAGAAATAATTTTCAGGTTGAATAAATTCTTTTAAAAGTACAACCCATGTGTGAGAAGCTAAACTCAGAGCAACTTTTGTATCTGAAAGTGTCTTCCTCCCGACCTTACCTAGCTTTACACTGGTAAGCGTTTGCATTAATGGCCTTGCCTTTGCCCACAGTGCTTGGTAAGGCTGTGCCACCACCACGCAAGGTGCTACCACGATGGAAGGTGCTATCGCCATGCAAGGTGCTACCACGATGCAAGGTGCCACCACCATGCAAGGTGCTACCACGATGGAAGGTGCTATCGCCATGCAAGGTGCTACCACGATGCAAGGTGCCACCACCATGCAAGGTGCTACCACGATGGAAGGTGCCACCACCACTCAAGGTGCTACCACAATGGAAGGTGCCACCACCACGCAAGGTGCTACCACGATGGAAGGTGCCACCACCACGCAAGGTGCTACCACGATGGAAGGTGCTATCGCCATGCAAGGTGCTACCACGATGCAAGGTGCCACCACCATGCAAGGTGCTACCACGATGGAAGGTGCTATCACCACGCAAGGTGCTACCACGATGGAAGGTGCCACCACCACTCAAGGTGCTACCACAATGGAAGGTGCCACCACCATGCAAGGTGCTACCACGATGGAAGGTGCCACCACCACTCAAGGTGCTACCACGATGCAAGGTGCTATCGCCACGCAAGGTGCTACCACGATGGAAGGTGCCACCACCACTCAAGGTGCTACCACAATGGAAGGTGCCACCACCACGCAAGGTGCTACCACGATGGAAGGTGCCACCACCACTCAAGGTGCTACCACGATGCAAGGTGCCACCACCATGCAAGGTGCTACCACGATGGAAGGTGCCACCACCACTCAAGGTGCTACCACAATGGAAGGTGCCACCACCACGCAAGGTGCTACCACGATGGAAGGTGCTATCGCCATGCAAGGTGCTACCACGATGCAAGGTGCCACCACCATGCAAGGTGCTACCACGATGGAAGGTGCCACCACCACTCAAGGTGCTACCACAATGGAAGGTGCCACCACCATGCAAGGTGCTACCACGATGGAAGGTGCCACCACCACTCAAGGTGCTACCACGATGCAAGGTGCTATCGCCACGCAAGGTGCTACCACGATGGAAGGTGCTATCGCCATGCAAGGTGCTACCACGATGGAAGGTGCTATCGCCATGCAAGGTGCTACCACGATGGAAGGTGCCACCACCATGATGGAAGGTGCTACCATGACACAAGGCGCTTGGTGAGCAGCTCCGGCAGTGGGTGGCACTACGCTGGGAGAGCAGCACCTGAGGACCACCCTGTCACTCGGAGGAACAGATCAACATCACTACTGGTCTCAGCACGAGCTCATGCTGCCTTCAGGCCTTTACCCGCCCCAGGTGCTTGCATCGGTTTCTGCGCAGGGACTGCAACGCGGGCAGGCAATAGGTTTGGCTCTAACAACCCTTCTCTCATGGACCTGCAGTCCTGGCTCTGAAGCGTGCCGTTTCTGAGCAGAACACTGTTCCCATATGGCTATTTTAAAAATACATACGTAGAACGTAAATCAACTGCAATTTCAAGAACTCTGGTTGTGTTTTATATTTTTCACACAACGCAGCAGGCTGGATGGAGTGGCAGAGATGCTCAGAGGCTGTATTCCCCACTGGTACATACCATTTACCAGAGGTTTAGTGATTTTCACCAGTGAAGGATGTGGCCGAGGAACTCTTCTGCCTTTGAAGGAATTACATAAAAATGGCACCTCTGTGCACAGACCCATTCTCCTCTCCAGTAAAACGCTGCTACTCCTTTTCGTACCTAGCAGCCATCAGAGGCAATACAGCTACACGAATCCAAAAAGCAGATCTGGTTCATCTTCCCACAGACAAGTGATGGGAAAGTTCATTTTTCTATTCTGCTGATGCACGAAATCATCACTCACGGCTCCATGGACCCGATGTTTTGGATCCAGGTTGTGCAGTATTTACATCAGTGGCATTTATCTGTATTAACAAAAGTAGTGGAAATAGCACTGTGGCTAGGACCAGCCTTACCCAAAGCTACCTACCAGCGAAGTTTCTCTAAGCCCCGCTTACCTGGGACGAGCCTGGGAGGATGAAGAAGGTTCAAAAGCTTATTAAACATCAGGATGGTCTAGCTAAAAATGTGCTGTGAAGAGCAATCCACCCTGACAAACAGATTGCTGCACTGTCTGCAGTTTCTGTTACCCGTAATTCGCATTTTTCCTTTCTAGAGTTCTACTTTATTGATTTATTTTCTACACGCTTCTTGTGCCTTTTATGTACATTTCATTACAATATTAATCAAAGAACTCAAAAGAAGTTCCTATGCAAATGAAGTTATGAATTTGCGATTTGGGAAAATTTTAAAACCTATTCATTCTATTTATATTGAAATATTTTAATGTATTTTAAATGCCTTGGCCCTGACAAAATGCATTTTCTTTCAAGCAAATAATATATTGAGCAAATATTATTCTCCCACATTTATTTCTTTGTCAAATAATTGATTTTTTTTTAAAAAACTTGTCCTACTTTATAGATAACATTACAGAAATTGCAGAGGGCAATTCGTTCAGTTAACAGGCGTTTTTCACGAAAGCCCCATCGTTGTTATAAGCCCCATTTCATTTCTCCGAAGCGTGTTTCTGCTGCCACTTCCTCTCTTCGATGCTCTTTTCAGAGGATTTACCATAAATCCATGTAACCACATTCTCTTTTACTGGAGCAGCGTTACCTACAACGAGGCCAAAACTCTGGTGGTGCTTGGTGCCCTGCGCCTGCACGAGAAAAATCCTTCCCTCGCCTCTCCCGGCACATTAATAGCCTCGGCCCAGTGGACGCGCAGGCAGGACAGGTTGCAGACATTTTGCTGGAGGCAGTGTAAGCACTACCCAAGGATCAGTGCTGCTGTGTACCGATGGGAACGCTTGGGAGCTCGGGAAAGTGTTCTGCATCGCTTCGAGAGGGCCACGCAGGTTAAGCACGAGGTACTGGCAGAGCAGCTATTAGCCTTCTTAGAAGTAATAGAGGAGGTTGGGGACCGGCTATTTTTAACCTAAGCAAAGACTGCAGGCATGTATAGGAACGCTGCTAAATCATGTTTAAAATGTCCTCTCTCTATACATGTGCGGGTGCATATATCTCACTGTTTCCAGCTAATTACCGCCCGCTCCAAAGAAAAATCTCTGTTATTATTCAAAAAAAGCAAAGCACAGCTACCCCCGTAACTTACTCCTGAACGGCCATACGCAGGGTCCGAGTTTGTCAAACACGGAAAAATAAATCTTTAAAAAGAACAAGAAAAATCTGTGTGTGGACAGCAGCTTAGCAGCACTAGGTCTGAGTCTAGGCTCAAGGACAAGACTAAACGGTGAAAGCTGTCTCTGCACGAACGCCGTGTCGGTTTGGGGAAGTGCTGCACACTGAGGAGTAAAGCGACCAGCGCATCCCCAGCCAAGCCCTGCAAATGAGCTGGTTTTCATCTCAGGAAAGGGACCTGCACTGAACAAGCCCCGTTCTCAGAAGATGTCACTTCAGCGATAGGAAAAATAACAAACGGGTTGTGAGGGAGCGGTGGGGAGGGAGCTGGGAATGATGGCAGGGACCGTCTGGTGGTCTTGGTGCACCCACAGGCAGGACCAGGAAAGGGTAAGGCAAAATTCATGGAGAGTAACTTGTCCAAGGGCTGGTCTAGGTACAACTCATGGCGAAACGCTCGCTGCTGGAAGCTGGGAGAGATTGCAAAGGAAAGGAGCATTTATTTTCTGCCCCAATCGACAGGAACCTGAGCGAGTCCCCTTGGCGTGTCCCAGTCCTGCTCCTCCGATTCTGCCTCTCTGTGCAGTTTCACAGCTGAGTTAGTTAAAAATACTCCTTTGTCTTGTACTTTCTAACTTCCTGTGCAGTTTCTCTTTAGACAAAAGTGGAGATCGCTGCCAAAATCAGATACTCAAGGAACTCTATTACTTATAAAATCAACTGTTACCACGTGACAGCTGCAAACATCTGGAATCCATCTCTCCCTGGTACGCTCTCGCTCCATGTGGGACTCGAGCATGCTCAAATATCAGCCTCGAGCAGAGTTTATGCAGCTTTCTCAAAACTGAAACGACTGCTGCAGAAAGTGTTTTTGCAGATAATTAAAATTTCAGGAAAAAAATGGAAAAAAATTAACATTGTCAAAACAAACAGGGAACAGAAAGATTTTTAAATGCTTTAATGATATTTCTTTTAACCTAAGGAAAGCATTCTCCTCCCTTTCCCTCAAAGTCAGATGTGAAGTGTTTCTCATCTGTGCATTTGAACCGAAACGCTGTTCCCCAGGCACAGCATGAGTTAACCCACGCTTAGAGCTGCTCCCCTGAGCCCGGCACAAGCTGAGCAGGAAACCCTCTCGGCAGGATATCTTGCGTCTTGGTGTCCCGGAGCGGGTGAGCTGGTGGGAGCACACCTGGGTTTCATCGAGGTGCACGGTGTCTCTCCACGAGCAGCGGGGACAGAGG